TTAATCGTGACATATATATCATGATTAATATCTCTAATAGTATCATTTGGTAAAATTCCAAAAATTGCATTACCTCTTCCCCAAGTGCTTCACCCAGCCCCCTGGCGTCCACATTTTATATAATTCGTGTTTGATGTCCATAAAATTCTTTGGATGCTGTTTCGCTTTTGCAGTAGTATATCACCTAAGTCAACCTTTGGTCCTAGCCCTGAAAGGCTCATTCCCAATTTTGATGTTTTCACAGGACCTATCGCCAATGAGCCATTCTCATACGCTCTTTTCCCTCCCATTCTCAAGGCTCATACCCATTCAGGCTGTCTAGCATTCTTCATAAATTAGCCGAAAACCCAATTAATTCCCCACTCCCTGCTGTGCTCATCAGAATGGTGTGGATGGATGGTGATGATGGATGTCCGATAAACACACAATATTCATGCTTCTTTGCTTTTTTGAATGCCGAGTTAATTAGAAATGGCATAAGACAAGCCTAAAAATTTCTTATTATTTCGTCTTCTAAAATAAAAGACGATAGGTATAACTGGAGGTATATAAGGATCGAGGGACCTGGCATCCCAGTAACAATATGCAAATGACTTAATGGACCGAAGCATTCCTCTTCAAATATTTTTATTTTTTTTATATATTCTTTTGACTTCTCTCTTCGTTTCAGTTGTTAGTTAACTAATAATCCGAAAAAAATTGGTTATACTAAATTGCTTTAGCACTTTTCCAATCGGCATTTGTTCATGTGCGAATGACAAAGCTTTTATCTTTAACAAAAGCTTATCTAACAGAAGTGATTACTGCTTAAGACTGAAGATCCTTTTTTTCTAAGATGTTGAAAAAATAGGCCATCGATCAGTTTTATTAAACCAAGTTTTTAAGACAAGTATTTTATCCCAGCCTTTTTGACAAGTCACGTAAAAGATTCCTCCACGATATTACTGACCAGGGGGTGAAGTCTAGTACTCAGTACACCACTGAACTTCTAACTAAATTTTATGGGCTTGCCATTCATTTAACATCAAAATTGGACCATCGACCCAAAATTTAACTAAGGACCAAAGCAGCAGGTTTCGATTTCCGTATCAGTCAACAGTCAAAACGTAAAGCCAACCGATGTAGCCCACTCTTAGACATTTCGATACTCTGATTAGCTGTCTAAAGTTTGGTTCTCTATCTTCATGCACCTGACAACTTTTTCAGTTGCTTTGGCCGATGCTGTTTCATCTGAGGGTCATCCTGCTGACGAATCTGACACCAAAGGAGCTGCCAACCTAATGGTTTTTTCAACAAAAGCAGTTAGCAAGACTCTAGCCGTTTCGAACTGTCACTGGTGTGTTTGTATGTGACTGGATATATCGCAGAAGAAGCTTTTGAGAATCATGAAACAAAAGCCCAGCCAAGTAGCTCGTATGAGGCGCAAAAGTTCATTCCCGGACCTTTTTGAAAAAGACATATTTATGGGATAACACGTAATATTTGTGCTGAAGTGAATTCGTGAAAGTCCGGATCCATTAACGGCCGATTTGTCCCACTGGTCACTTCACCACATCCAATTCAGTTATGGGGATTATAATTACGTTATCACATGCAAGCTGCTGGACTTATATGTCGAGAGGCCTAAATAGATCTACGTAAGAGCTGAACGCCATCTTATTGCGGCTTCGTCCCTTCATTGTTTTCCACTTCTTTCGCTGTGATATTTAAACTTCAAAAATGAATTACGCATGTGCTGCTTCAAAATCTTCAGAACGCCAAGACTGCTCGGGTTATCAGTGCAGATTTTCCCTGTTAATGGTTATTAAAGGATGCTCCCATACGTCCAGCGCAGCTGTGCCAAGCTTTTCGATCCTGGGCTGCATACCTTCAATTAACACCCACTGCTTCTCGGTGTGTGTGCGTTATTCTTTCGAGGACCGTCCATGTGTTCCTTTACTTGAAATATCTGTTAAGGTTGTTTGAAAATTACGTTTTCTAATGGAGAAAATAAAATCAGATTTTGAAATATGGAGAAAATATAAAGACTGATGTGGAACAGCGCCAAATTCTGCGAAATTTTGATCCATCGCCTGGTGATCTTGTCTAATAATTTGAAAAAAATCATATTAGCAAAAGTTTCTTTTTTTGCGGCGTAGGATTCTAGAAATTGTTATCTGCAGTAAAATTTTATTTTTTGCGCCCGAAAGGGCTTTTTTTAAAAAAGCTATTCACATTTTAACGGGACTGTTTTGTCCACAAACAGCAATAAATTCCCAACTATCGCTAATATAAGGAGAAATGCTTTTTTCACATAAAATTGCCTCATTAAAATGTTATTGCATTCCAACAAAAAAACGTTATTTGTACTGAAGAATTCTAAAACAGAAATGGGAGCTTTTAGCTTTACATGCTTATGCCGCTATTGGAAAGATATTTTGTGAATGCTCAGTACGGAACTGTGTGAATGAGAGAAGTCTAAAATAGAGAAGAATGGAAAAATTGCCAGTTGCATCAATGGCGAGAAGAAATGCAATGATGAAACAACAGATGATCAAAGTAAATGTGTTTGTTGACAGATTAAATATTAATTTAAAAGATTAGGGAGGGGGGTTACTTAGAAGCAAGCTGATGACGATTCCCTTTTAAGTGCTAGTACCAATTTACCATCCAAGAAATGAGCGAATTGCAAAGAAATTTTTTTGTCTTGTTGGCTTCAGTGACGGTTACGTCTCATTCATTTATTTCATGTCGCTTTGTCCCTCCCACGTTTAATTATTGATCTTTTACCAGTTAACCTATTATCAACTAATCAGCTTGCCACTGTATCGCCTCATTATCACTTGTGCATTAACGACTAATCAGTCCAACAAAATTGTGTATATAGCTTCGTTCAGTAACAAGAAGTATTCCATTGGTTTATGCTCGTTAAAATGCAATTGCATTTGCACTTTGCCTAGGCAACGAAATATGTCCGGAAATTCCGAGCTGAAAAACATCTGCCCACCAGATTTCACAAAGAACTGAATTTTTTTTTCTAGCAATGATTACTTCTGCTGCAATTGCAACTTTTGGAGAAAAAGCTTCACCAACAATAAAAAGTTTTATCGTCTTTTTATGCTCAGCTTGAAACCATTAAGAATATTAGAATCACCTGCCCAGTGCAACAGTAGGATATTTGAAAAATAGTTACCAAGACGTTTTATCATAGAATACCTAGTAAAAACAGCTGCAAATTTTCGAAAAAGTCTATTTGCACTAACTTCTGCACAGACTTTAAAAAGAGATTGAAAGTTTTGAAAATTTTAATGACTTCGAAAAAATGGAAAATTTCAGAAATAATTCCTTGACTTGAAAAATCTCACTGACGTTGAAACCACTAAATAATTTTGCTGATTTATAAATGAAGAAGAAAAATAATGGATAGAAAAAGCGGATCATTAGCTGGCATTCAAGCAATGTTAAAGAATACTGAGAAGGCGACCGTGAGGGATCAGCTTGAACGGCTACTTGAAATTGTGTGGATGAGAGAAGCTCAAAATAGAGAAGAATGGAGAAGATGCTAACTGAATCAACGGCGTAA